AGAAGTGCTTCCTCAAATTTTTCTCCCGCTAATTTCCACTTATGGCCACGAGTTCTAGTATTTAGACTAATATTGAAATAGCCATTTGGCTGAACAGCATCCAGACCCGTTAGAATCTTATAGACCTGAATCATATCCCCCCTTAGTCTCCTTTGCTCAAGGCTAAACAGATTCAGTTCCGCTAACCTCTCCTGTGCATGTTACCCACCCGACACCGAACAAGACAGCCAGCCTTCGCCCAGACTCCATCATGAGGGGGTGGGGGTGGCCGTGTAAGACACGTTTGATAACTCGCTCGGCGTGAAAGTAGCCACAGGAGCACACCCCCCCCCCACCCCCCCACCCCCACGGCACGTCATGAAGACGAGACCAGAAAGCCTGGCCTACTTTTTACTTCATATCCCCCCCCCCCCAACTTTCTTTGCCCAATCCATAAAAATCACAAACATCGAGGTCAAGAAGCTACACAGATGCAGGTCATAGTGCCCATTTAATTTTGAGTTCAGACAAAAATCCAAGCAGGAGGGTCACAAGAGGAGTTTGAGTGATAAGCAGCAAAATGGCACAGAGATGATCTCAATTAACCCAGAACAGTTAACAATAAATAAATAAATCATAATCCACAGGGTCACTGTATTTATGAATGTCTTTAAGATGCAATTGTATTGTTGTTAAACCAGCTATATTCACTAAAGCTTATTGGCTCCCATCTTTAGCAGCTTCTTTTAAAAGTCACATTCCATTCAGCTGACACTTGCTCTGAAGGCAAACATAACATTTACTTTTTAGGGACATTTACATCCATCATAACTTACCAATTACCATCTCTAGCCATCACACATATCAGGATTACTGCAGGATTCAAGCATTAGACCTTTAAGTCAAAATTTAAATGCCATGCTACTCAAGGTTCAGATTCATTACTGTATTGCAGTGTAACTTACAAAACACTGATACGAACAGCTAGTTTGGCAAAAAAAAAAACAACAAGATATGACAAGCACCCAAAACAGAACACAAGTTTGGTTTGACACCCAAATTACACACTGGCTGCCACCAAACCAGTGTGTGACATTGATAGACCTGGGACTCTTTCCTTCACACTTCACCGATTGAGATTTTATCATGAGAGCATCAACCAAACAGGCCATCCACATGTGACACAAACCACCGCCAGGGACCGGACACACAACACCCACACTTACTACAAGCCGAAAGTGACACAGATGTGAGGAAAGCTGGGGTCAGGAGGCTGGTTAAGGGTGTTACTCCAAAGCCCAGCAGTGAATCGATTACTCTGGATGTAAATGTTACAAAACCAACTGCTGCCATGCATCTGGAAGCAGGCAACAAACTCACATCACTATCAATCATATAATGCTTACTGATAAGCCAGCCATAACCGGGTTAAATCACTCCCCCAGACTTCGAAGCGTCGACATAACCTTCTAAAGAATCTGTTCCAAGACTCGGTTAGTTACTTTGCAATAAAACCTACCACGTAACCGCTTGTTTTACTGGAAGGCAACACAACATAACCAACCTGAGGATTTCAGCATTACAGCAGAACGACCAATGAACCGACTCTGCGAGCAGTCAGCTGTCACAAGGGCGTATGTCACATTTGACACTACTGTCGCCATCAGACAGTTATAGACAGGGGCAGTTTGACAGGACAACACATAGACGATATTCTTTAAAAGAATCAAAAGGGAGCACGCAGAAAGCAAAGGGGGTAATAAACTAGCCACACAAACAATGTACGACAATATAAACGGAGAATATTTCACATTATTTTAAGTAGAAGACAAAAGTCAATGTAAAATTTCAAAATTCCCCGGTGCTTGTGACACCACCTTGACGAGGTTGTCGTAACTTTTATATCTGACATACATCGAGAAGCCATAAAAAAAGTAAGAAAAACCGAGCTGAAGATGTTATGTTTGATTATGGGAGTGGAGGAGCTTTAAAAGAGCCATTCGCAAACCTTCAAATACCACATGAGGTGCATTTAGCCCACAACAAAGGCCACCATGTCATTAGACTGCAACTCATAGTTCAGCAGACCAGACATATTACAGGCGGCCTCACACCATACGTAACACGTTAGGCAACTGGTGTAAATATAGATTATAGCTCCACCCACCTTGTCGGCCAGCAGCGCGACTTCCGGGGCGCCATCTTCACCATTTCCGCTTCGTACCGCCATAGGCTGAGCTACCGTGGCTAACTAGCCAGGACCAACCTAGTTTATCGAAGCCTCAGTCGACGTTCCTTATTAATCAGATCGCATCCACAGAAATCCAAATAGTGGCACGTCACGCAGCCGCATACATTTATGGCTACATTAAGAAAAATAAGTAAGGAAAATCAAATTATAGCCGTTCTTAAGCCAGATATCCCTGTCACCTCCTTCGTCCGCGTCCTCAGCAAACTGAATACGCCATCGCCCCTCCACGGAACGGGCGCATATAAGAGGGGTGGGGGGGTGGGGCGCGCAATGGACTACCATCTTTATATTACGCGTGCGCGATGTGTTTTTTTGGGAATTGTAGTTCTACAATCTTGCAACCAGCGAAATTGCAGCAGAGTTCTCGCTGCATATTGCCGTGTGTTGGAATACATTTCCCAGCTTGCATTAACGTAACGTTTCTACAGAACTTGTTGGAAAATAACGTAATTGTTTTCTAAGGCTGGCCAATAGTCTGAGGCAAAGGGCGGTGACACAAATATGGTGACCAATGAATGAACATATTGAGAACTGGGTGGTTTTGTGTGTCCGTCAGTCAGTTTCAGAAGGAGATAGGAGCACAGAGAGAAAGGGAGTCCGAGAGGTTGAGTGGTTGTGTTGGTCTCGCACCCTGACACCGACCCGGAGCTTGCGAAAAAAAAAGTCAAAACCATTTAAAAACGCCGATCCTACTTCGAATGTTTTATGGATATTTAAATTGTTTTACGAACTTGGAGGAAAAAGGGATTCCGCAACTTGACTTTCAGAGGTAAGAAATTTGCGGAATTAGTTATGTAGGTATTCAGCTTGTCATTTTAAAGACAGAGAAGTGTTTTAAAAGGTCAGCGCTTTGATAAATAGCCAGGGAAAATGATTAAAGGTGCTGAGTTCGGTCTTCTAATAGCGTAATGGGAGAATCAACATACTATTGGGTTCCCAGCTCCGTGCTCCCATTTCTATTTTACCCCCCATGCCGTTTCACTTTTATTTATTCTCCCCCTATTCTCCCTGATTTCCATCATCAGCAGATGTGGTGGAATTCAGGAAATAACCCACATAAGCAGTTTGGTGTCCGTGGTACCAAACGCTTTCTAGGGGTGGTTGTTGGCAGCCCGATGTTGGGGGAGAAAAGTCTTCGGGCAGGCTTATATAATGCTAAAGTGAGCCACATCGTGATTGAAAACGGGCTTGCGATCGAGCGCGGCGGCCGCAGACGGACCCTGCCGGACGTGTTTTTCGCCGATCGGACCTGTAGCCGGGCTCTTTAATATTTTATGGTTTTTGCGTGTGACTAGCCGCAAATGGTCATATTGGTTTCGTGGCTGCCTTGCGTGTTACGCTTATGCTGTTTGTTTCTTCCCACTCCATCCTCTCACGATCGCGCTGTATGGGTTTTTTTCGTCGCTGTCCTTCCTTGAATGCTTGAATCTCGCTTTTAAGTCGTCCACTTTAAGATCCGTTGTCCTTTTTTTCCTCCTGTAGTCGGCATAACAGTAGAGTGGCGAGAAATGTGGACAGTTAGCTTGATATTACACTGTCTCAACAACCTACCAGCAACAATAACTAGACCAGAGCCGCCAGTCGGCCCGTCACTTGCTTGTTGTCTGGCTGTATAATTCAATCTTTTAATTTTCTGTGCCAGCCAGTCCGGCAAAGTACGACAGGCAGCGCCTGGATTAAATAGTGTGGGGTGACATTGTGCCAACGAGCCGCACTCCGCCGGATGATGCGCTGCTGTTTTTTCCTTCTGCGCTGAACAAGCTAATCGGTTTTGCGAATTGATCGCGTTTTTGTTTGTGATGGTTGTAGGTCCGTAGTGTTACTTTGTTCAGTTTGACCTTGTTCAGAGCGGGTTTGTCAGTTCCCCCCCCCCTCCTCCTCCTCCCCTTCATGGTTATAGTGACAACTCGGTGCACTCGGCAATTTGCCATCGACAGATTTCTAAACGACATCTTTGCAGTTACGAACGGGCTGACACCTCTTATCAGATAAGTTGATTTCACGGAGAGAATCCGCGGGGGAAAAGTCCCGTTTTCTCTGCTGTAACCCCGCCGTGGTGCAAAGCGATCCGTGTAAAATGTCAGCGCACATTTCCCCTCGATCGCATCGCCGACTTGCCTGGAGACTTGGGGGTCGCTTCTGGCCGTGCGTCTGGGGCTGATCTGGGGCTGTGGCTGTCCGTGTACTCGTTATTTTCCGTCTGCCAGTGCCGTGCTGCCGGAGTGTTGATCTGTTTCTCCGGTGTGTGTGCATGTAGTACAGAAATGGCGTCATTCACTTCACTGTAGCGCAGCAGTAGATATCGGGCGTGCGTATCGCGCTGACCTGTTCCTAAATAGTTTGGCTTCACGGATTTTTCTTTCGCTGTCCTTGATTTATTATTATCGTAAATATTTCACTATTTAACTCAATACGTCAGCGAGGACGCCCCTTTTGCCCGTGTTCTTTCCACTTTAAATTGTTTCGGTCGGAGCGCCCTCCCCGAGCCCGTCCTCCCGGCGGTAGTTGCTTGCGAACATAGAGCCGCTTTTTTAAATCCGCAGCTCCACCGATCGGTTGCATTAAACGTGTATTTTTTTGCCCTGTAGGCACAATCTGGGCTTCCTGGGGACACGGAACAAGCGACGGTTAATGTGCGACAAGTCCGATTGCTTGGTTGTCATGTTTGTGGCACATGAGTGTCGCGGATCGGAGGGAGGGGGGGGGGTGGATATAACGTCGGATTCGGCATCGTATTTACATGCTGTCTGTTTGTGCTATCTCATGCATTGTTTACGAATAGAGAAATTTCCCCGGTTGAATAATCGGACTCAAAACAGGGGCAAAGCGTAGAGATACGGTTCAGATAATGTTTTGCAACCAACTACTTAAGGCGATTAGATCTGAAATCCTTGCGCCTTCTCTGCTGTCTAATATGATGTTGCCCAGTTGAATAGTTTTTGAACGATGACACAATTAAATTTCGCATGGCAATTGTTTTCAGCAAAACGTGTTACCGTACGTATGGCGTTTCTTTGTGAATAATTCAGTTTCTTTTGACATAATGGCCCGTTAGTAGTTAAAAGCAAAACCGTGATTCATTGTCCTCCGTGGTTCCTAAACAAACCAGACATGCACGACTTATACCGTTAGCCATGCTAAATCAAGACAGTTCTTGTCCACGTTAATTTCCTAACACCGTTTTCTCTATTTTCTGTACAGCTTCGTCTCCTGCAGCGGGACTAGGAAACCTGGCCGGATATGAAGGTACCGACCCGAACCCTAAACCGAGCTGTACGCGCTTCCGTGAGCTGATGGGATTTCACCGTCGAAGGGATGTGGAGAATATTTTCTGTGGCATATTTTATCCATGAAGCGTTTTTTTACGGTTTGCAACCTTTTAAACTACTACACAACTAATGTCTGTGGTCTAGAAGTATTAAGGTTTTTTTTTGCATCAAAGTTGCTCCATTAAAACGTTCATTTAGATGCCCAACTGTATATAACAGGATACCATAATTAAACAACAATAAATGGTAATTTATAAGAACAATAAACAAAATTGTTTTGGCCTGAAGTCACACTCAGCCTGTTTTCCATTTAAGTCTGCGTTGCAATGAATCTCATGAATTCATTGCAATGCCTGAATATCATAAAGATGTAAGTTGCAGTTTCTCGTATTTTATTTTTCTGTATACCATTTAATTTTGGGCGAACTGGTCAGGGTTTATGTTGATGTCTTTGCACTAATGGATTCAGGAGTTTTATTTGTTTTAATAAATTATGTCATAAAAAGGAACATTTTAAAGGCTTGCATGGCCTGTTCCTGCAAAGGTCTTCATGCTGCTCTGCCTCCCTACAGAGTAAAGTTAGAGATTCTTATTTGCTACTTTCTGTCTGGAATGTTGCAGAGAGCTTCTGTTTCCATGGTAACCTACTACTGGGGTATTACCTGAAGGATTTGTCCTATTGGCTGTTGGACCAGCAAGAAAGAGGACAGGAAAGGGGAGGTTGACAGACTTTTTTATTTGTGATTTGCTGTTGCCTGTAGATATCTATCATATATCATTTTTTAGCTGGGCTCAGGTTATGCTTTCCGTTGACTCCATGTAAGTTTTAATGTCGCTTGCTGAAGTTTTGCAGTTCTTTGAAGAGAGTTTGGTAAGCTCTGTGTTTCTGGAGAATCTGTAGATCTGTGTAGAGTACACAGCCGATACCAAGGGGCTTTGTTTTTTGGGGGGGAGGGGTGAGGGTGGGGTTTTAGGGTCTTGCAAACTCAGCATGGCTTTGAGAATCTCCACAAAGGAACAGGTGGTTTTAGCTAAAACCAGCAGCATCACTCTGCCGTTACCGCTGATTCCGCCAATAATGACCAGCTCATGCAGTGCTCTGTGTCCCCCGTGGGGCGCTGGGGCTCTGTGTCCCCCGTGGGGCGCCGGGGCTCTGTGTCCCCCGTTCGGCGCTGGGGCTGTGGGTTTCGAAGAGGTAAGCAGATTGCTGTGTATGTAGGCACTGGTATCGCTGCAGTTCTTTTTAAAATAAGTTATTTAGGGAAAAATTTCAAGACTTTAAAAGATCACTGACACTTGAAAGCTGTGTGCTGGTTCTGTTTTTTCCTGCAAGTAGCTTGTAGAGCAGGGGTGGTGAAATCTGTCATAGTCTTAGGATGTAACTGGCTGAGCTTCACCTTCAGATTCAGTCACTGCTTAAATCAGGAGTTGGGTGTTGCTTTGAGATCCAGTTTATGTGAAATCGACAGCCCCTGTGTGTTATTGCTGGGTTCTGTGATTTGTTATTTGTGCTGGTGTCAGATTGCAACTATATCTGGTGGTTAAATCTTGTTTTTATTATTTTTATTTGTATTTCCCCCCGCTCACTGGTGGGGGCGCTACTCCACAGTGGTCTCACTGGTTAGCCTTCGCCCCTCAGATTGTATACCTCTCCTGCGTTCTTCTGTCGTGGCACCCCAGTCACTCCCGGCTAATGAAAGGCGTTGCCCCCCCCCCCCTCCGTGCCGCCTTGTAGCTCTCCTGAGTGCTGTTGGCCGGTGGAGCCCCGGGCGGCGGCTTTCGCTGCTCAGAAAGGCTGAAGTAGCGCAGGACAGCACAAAGGTCCGATTCAGGGCCGGATTATACTGTGAGCATGGAGTGGCCGATTCGCTCTCGCGTCCCCCCGTCTCC